AATTAAATATTTCAGTTTAATATGAGAAAAAAGTCAGAATTCTGACTTTAATCTCAGAATTTTAGATCTTAATGTAGATGAAGGTAGAGATGTGGAGCACTCAGCTTCATTGACAAAGATGTGAGTTGTTTAGGAGGAACAGGAACACATTGGTGGAAATGATGGAATTAGGCTCAGATAGTTATTAGTCTTTTTCCGTCCCTGAGGGTCCCTGCTGATTATATTTCATTAATGGAAGAGCAGAAGGTGATTAAAACAAGAGAGCTAGTCTGGTCTCTAAAACAGACACGGCTACGGCTGGATGCTAACACGTTTGTTAGCTGTTAGAATTCAGTCAAAATTCTAAGAAAAAAGTCAGAATTCTGAGATAATGTCAGAATTTTTCTTTTTCTCATATTATACTGAAATACAATTTTAAAATCAGTTACATTTTTTATTTTTTCAGTGACCTCAATCCTCTTCCTTAGAAAAATACAATTCAAAGTTTAGAAAATTTAAAAGCAAAGCCTGGTTGGTTGAGTTTAATTCCTAAACTATTTACAGTGTAGGAAGGCTTATGATGTCATTTCCTGTCCAGCCATTGGTCCTCAGTTTTTGATGTTAGAAAAACACAGATAACCAAACAAACCATTTTGTTAATTTAGATGTTTTCTGTTTTTTTAAAGGCAGCAGAGTTTCACATATTTAGTCCCCAGAGGCAGATCTGGTGATTCTAGGGCCCAGGGCAGAAGAGGGGCCCACAGTTGGTTCATCGACCCCTTTTTCTTCCAGCTGCAGATCAACCTGATCTCGGCTGAAGGTTGAGAATGTCGAGTTGTAGTTTTCCTCTATTTCGAGAATAAAGCCATAAAATTACGAGAACAAAGTCGCAACAAGAATAATCATCAAATTACGAGTGTAGAGTTGTAACATTACGGGAATAAAATTGTAAAATAAGAATAAAGTCTTAATATTAAAAGAATGAAGTGCTAAAATTGAGAAACAAGTTGTATTTTATGACATCTCTTCCAAGAAGACGACTTTATTCTGTTAATATTAAGACTTTATTCTCGTAATGTTACAACGTTTTTCTGGTAATGTTACAACTTTATTCTCAACAATAAATAAAAAATAAAAAATGTCTAGCCTGGCCCTAATACTCCGTCATAGAAGGTTCAAATCTACTTTGGCCTGAAAAAATTTGTTTTTATATAATTTGACCTTACTTACAGCCTTAAAAAGATGTATTAAAAATTAGTATGTAAAATATTTTTGTGGGTTAGGATGATATTGTTTACTTCTCAATAAATAATTAATTGGTCCCCATTATATGATACATGGGGTTGCCATACCCTCTTTAACCAACAGCATCAGGTTCCTGTTATTCACTAGCATTAGCATTTAGCACCGTTTGGAACATTTCTGTATTATGTGCCGAATACGTACCAGCACAAGTAGAGGTTTATTCATGTGTCCCTGTGGGGCCCCTGGCAGCCGGGGCCCCTGGCAGCCGGGGCCCATGGCAGCCGGGGCCCCTGGCAGCCGGGGCCCCTGGCAGCCGGGGCCCCTGGCAGCCGGGGCCCCTAGCCTCTGTTCATCGCTAATCAGTGTTCCCAGTTATCATCTGTTCCCAGCTCCTCACTGGGATTTAAATATTCTCCAAACAGAAGTAGATGGACGGCGGCCTTAAAGGGACGGCGCTCAAGAAAAGTTGAAGGTTTTTCTGATCCTGAGGAAAATAAACATTTGAATCTGAAAATCCCTTAAAGAGAAAACCTGGTTTCTTCGGTGTGTAAAAACGGTGTTTAAGTCCAAGTGACCAATCCGAGCAGAGAGCTTCTCAGAGGCCTTTTAGTGACGCTGATTTTCCTGTCAGGCTGTAGATGGTGGACCTGATTGAGGACATCAGGCTGCAGCTTTGGTCTCCCATTCCTGGTGAAAAAGGCAAAAACACATCGATAGAAATTATCTCTAAGTGAATCCAGACAGTTTATAATCCTGATGTTTAATCAAAAAGGAAAAAAACAAAACATTTATTTGATAGTCAAAATTTCTTTTAAATTTGGTTCAAATTTCTTCTATTTGAAGAAAGAGTAAAGTCCAAAAATACAACAATCTCAACTAATATAAACATTTTTTAAATATCTTTTTAAAAAGTTTCAAAAAAACATGAAGAAAAAAGTCATTTCAATCATTTAAGAGAATCAGATAAATGTCCTATTCTGGTTGATCTGTAAGGATAAATTATTCACAAAATGAACACAGAGGACGTATGGATGTCGCACCACAGTATAAGTCGCATGACCAGCCAAACCATGAAAAAAAGTGTGACTTATAGTCCAAAAAATACGGTAAAGCATATCGAACAGGGACAAACGAACAGTTTCTGCTGTTTACAGTATTTTCACCTGTTATTACTCAAGTTAAGTTTCTTTGAAAATATTATTGAAGTAAATGTAACTAGTTACA